GGGACCAGAGGGGCTCAGTCAGATCCTCAGTGCAGCCTGTCGGCAGCCGACACCCAGGTCACTGATTCCACAAGGCCAAACCCTCCTGCCCTGGCAGGTTGCAGACCTTGACCTGGCACCCATCCTGCTGGGACTGGTCTCAGTGTGGGGACAGCAGGACAGCCACCTCCCTCCAGGAGAAGTCCTGCTTCTCTTTGGGTTTGTGCAGCAGCAAGGATGTTCTTGCAGTGCTGTGTCTGAGAGATGCAGGTCTGAGGGATCTGGAGAGAAGGCCTGGAAAAACATTTTCATTTCCTGGGAAATTCCAATAGTTAACTTATATTTTGATTTCAAAACCAGCTGAAAAGCTGAAACTGCAAATTTTCCTAGGGAATGGATAGTCTGAATAAAATCTGTGTTTGGGAACATGAAAGTGTTTTTGCTCTGAAAGGGTAAATCCCAGTTCCTTTTCCCAATCCTGAGCTGGGTGTCAGAAACCGTTTCATATCCAAACACACAGAGCGAGCGGCATTTGCATCCCAGTTTCAGGACTGATGCCTGCTCCAGGATATGACACGGTGATAGATGAGCCCTTGCTGGTGTAAATTGGGGTAGCCCCGTGAAACACCGCAATACCAGGGATGGCTCAAATGCCTGGGACTTTGCTCCTGAATCCTCTTGGCTTCTGTGTTGTCCCTGCTCCCTCTGCTCACCCCCAGCAGCTGAGCTTGGCCGCACTGGCACTGCTGCTCTGCCCCTCAGACTCAGCCCTGAATCCTCTTTCCTGGCAGGGACTTTTACGAAATTTTTCCCTTCTCCGTATTTTTGCCAAAGTCTCATAATGCCCCTCTTCTTTCTTGCCTGGTGCTAAATACGAGCTGATTACTCAGTTCCAAGAAACCTGATCTTTATGGCCAAGCGTAATCAACGGTACCCGGACATGTGAGACAGCACAGTAACAGCTATTTCTAGCCGCCAGATTTGTTCCCTCATACATTGGCTGCTCCAAGCTCCCTCAGGGGAGCTGAGGTCACTGACAAGTTTCAGCCTAGAGGTGCAAACTGGAATTTGGGAACATTCAAAAGCTGGATTTTTCTCGTGGCTGATTTTTTCCCCTTTCACTTGCACTCTGGTCACCCCAAAGGGCAGCTAGCCCCATGGGTTACCCAGCAGTGCTGCGCCGTGCCCAAGGGGCTGAGGGGGAAATGAGCACCCTTTCCTATGCGGCCCTACAGTGCTGGGGTTCATCTCACCTCGCTGCTGGGTGGGAACCTCTGTCAGAGCTGCTGAGACTTGATTCACCCCATCTGACGTGTGCTTGAGTCAGGAGAAACACACCCTGCGATCGCCCCCTCGCTCTGCCTGGAGCCTGCGTCACCCCAGACAGCAGGGCCGAGTGTGGTCCCACATCCCAGAAGCCAGTGGGTGCTCCCAGTTTCCCGGGGCAACCACCCAAAGTGCCCAGTCCTTTTCTAAGACAGTGAAGGTGCTGGTGCTGGTTGAGAGTTGAGGATCTTCACTTGCAGTTGTGGCCCTTGATGCCTTTAACACAGCTCAGGGGGGTGCAGGGCTGGGGAGGCAGTTTCCATCCTTCCCTTGGCCTGACCCAAAGAGTATATGAGTCAGTGGGAATTTTTATTTGCTTAACTGAATGTCTTAAAGAGCAGAAGGACACCTGTAGCCCTGCTATAAGGGTCCTCACCTCTCCTTTCTTACCAGGTCCTGTTCCGATCCTGCCAAGATGGCACCCAAAAAGAAAACCCCCAAGAAGCCCAAGGTGGATAAAGAGGATGCATCCACCGCCCCGGTGATGGTGGAAGATGCTTTGCTAGATGTCGAACACCTCAATCACTTGAACAGTTTGTACGACAGCGGCTCCAACGGCTTCCACTGCATGGCCACGGAGGTTGAAGCGCCAGACCACGGAGCCAGCCTTCTGGAGGGGATGAACCAGATGCGCCAGAAGCGGTTCCTCTGCGATCTCACCATTGCCACCAAAACAAAGTCCTTCGAGGTGCATAAACTTGTCCTGGCTTCCTGCAGCGAGTACTTCCACCGCCTGCTGCAGAGAGACCCTCAGCTGCACCGCGTGGAGCTCCACGACGTGTCCCCGCTGGGCCTGACCACCGTCATCACCTACGCCTACACGGGGAAGCTGAGCCTCTCGCTGTACACCATCGGCAGCACCATCGCCGCGGCCACCCAGCTGCAGGTGCCAGCACTGCTGAGCATGTGCAGCGACTTCCTCATTCGGGAGATGGCTGTGGAGAACTGCGTGTACATCGCCAACATCTCAGCCACCTACGGCCTCAACCAGGTGAAAGACGCCACGCAAAAATTCATCCGGGAAAACTTCCTAGAGTTCTCCAAGACCGACCAGTTCCTGAAACTCCCCTTTGATCAGGTCAACGAGTTGCTGATGGATGATGGCCTGCAGATACCCAGCGAGGTTGCAGCCTTCCAGATCGCAGTCAAGTGGCTGGAGTTTGACCCGAAACGGGTCCGATATGCTGCTGACCTCCTGAGCAACATTCGATTCGGCACCATCTCAGCTCCAGACTTGGTCAACCACGTGCAGCCTGTGCCACGCATGATGCAAGACCCGCAGTGCCACAAGCTCCTGGTGGATGCGATGAATTACCACCTGCTCCCCCACCAGCAAAACAGCCTTCAGTCCCGGAGAACCAGGATACGGGGAGGACAGAGGGTGCTCGTCACAGTTGGGGGTCGTCCAGCTTTGACCGAGAAGGCTCTTAGCAGGGAAATCAACTACAGAGATGCAGAGGGAAACTGGAACAAGCTGACGGAGATGCCAGCAAAAAGTTTTAACCAGTGTGTGGTGGTGATGGATGGATTCATCTACATTGCGGGCGGTGAAGACCAAAACGATGCCAGGAACCAGGCCAAGCATGCTGTCAGCAGCCTGAGCAGGTAAGATGGGCTCCACCTGGCCACGCAGGGCCTGGGGAGGGGTCCAGAGCTGTGCTATGTCCACCTGTGCCCCAGCACCCACTGTGGGTGAGGGAGGAGGTTCCTCTTTGCTATCAGTAACCGAGGGGTAGGTCAGGCCTCTGGGATGACACTGCCAGGGAGGGACAAACGCAGCGAGGCCCAGCACAGAGTGCCGGACTGCGAGACACAAGACCTGGAAACCACTTCCAGGGATTTGGTCCATGTGACCTCAGCTTGGGCTTCCCCTGGGGACTTTGGCACCAGGGCTGTGCTGCCCCCATCCTCCAGCAGTGCACAGCACCAGTGCAGGATGAGGGCAAGGCTCCTGGAGAAATGGGAGCCCTCATTATTTAGAAGTAACCCATTTTGTTACTCTGGTGAACTCCCCTTTTTGCCTGCTAGCTGTTCCTCCAGCCAGTACCAGCCTCAGCACAGTCTCTGGTTCTCCTGGATTAATTTTAAGGTAGATTTACTGTCTGTAGGATTCCCATTGCCCTTCAGGTTTTCTTCTCTCCACCTCCATTTCTCTCTTCATCATTTCAGTGACAAGGTTAGTTTCCTAAATCCCCATAAACCTGTCACAGGATCACTTCATCCCCCAGGTACGACCCACGCTTCAACACCTGGCTGCACCTGGCCAGCATGCAGCACAGGAGGACACACTTCAGCCTGAACGCCTGCGGCGGGCTCCTCTACGCTGTGGGAGGGCGCAACGCTGAGGGCGCGTTGGCATCTGTCGAGTGCTATGTCCCCACCACCAACAGCTGGCACAGCAAGGCGAGCCTGGAGACCCCCCGCTGCTGCCACGCCACCGCTGTCATCAACGGCAAGCTCCTGGTCACCGGCGGCTACATCAGCCATGCCTATTCCCGCACCGTGTGCTGCTACGAGCCCAGCACCGACACCTGGAGCGAGCAGGCAAGGCTCAGCACCCCCAGGGGCTGGCACTGCGCGGACACCGTGGCCAACCGAGCCTACGTGCTGGGTGGGAGCCAGCTGGGTCCCCAGGGCGAGCGGGTGGACGTGATGGCTGTGGAGTGCTACAGCCCAGTGACAGGGCAGTGGAGTTACATGGCACCCCTGCCCACAGGGGTCAGCACGGCCGGGGTGGCTCTGCTGGAGGGGCGGTTGTGCCTGGTGGGTGGCTGGAATGAGTGCGGGAAGAAGTATCAGAAGTGTGTGCAGTGCTACAATCCTGACCTCAATGAGTGGGTCCAGGACGAGGACCTCCCTGAGGCCACTGTCGGTGTCTCGTGCTGCACCATCACCCTCCCACGCACCCTGAGCTCCAGGTCCCGGGCCAGCTCCGTGGCCTCGGCAGCAGCCAGCACGTAAAGGGCCCTGGGTGCCATGTGGCTTATGCCAGCAGCTAGGGAAGGAGACAGAGCTGAGGAGTGGGGGTAGCTGGATGGGGAGGCACGCTGATGTTTGGAGTCAATGCAAAGTCTCCAGCAGTATTGTTCCATTATGGCAAGTTTTGGGTTCTAAGAGAGCATTTTCTAGCTGCCTGCATCATCCTTAAGCAGGGATTGCTCAAGCGGGGCAGACACAGAAGCAAGCAGGACAGAACAGCTTTTCTCCTCAGCCTGCAGCACTGTATTGCAGCATGGATTGGAAAAAACAGAAAAGAAAACAAAACTAGAATAACACAGGAGAAATTCTACTGTAGGAGTAGTATTGCGAGACACTTTCAAAACAAGAGTAGCATTGGCATTAGGTACAAGAAAGTGACAGGTCTATAATAGATCCTGTTGCTCACATAGCATTTTTCCAAGGGAAACATTTAATATTTGCTCATTGACACTGGATACCTTCAGACCAGGAATAATGTGAATCTTGATAGCAAGGAAGAGAACTATGGGAGCAACTCACCAAGATCTCCCGCTCAGTGCCCTAGCTCACACAGAGGGAATCAAAGAAGTGCCTGAGGACACTATGAGCCTCCAGGAGATTTGAGAGACAAATGGTGCCCTGAAAATAAGTACCAGCAGGAACAGAAGCCCTTCACATCAAAACCAGCTTGCAGTAATTACAGTCACATGAAGCTCCCACAAAATTCACAACAGAAGTTAGGAGTTAGAAAATTTTATTTGCTTTTTTGGTAACAGGAACTGCTCATTTACCAGGGAGGATGATGCCATCATACTGTGAGGGGAAAAAGAAAAAAAAAAGAAAGAACCAAGTGAGAAAGCACTGTCAGGTAAAGGTGCAGTACCACTGGGGTGAAAACTGAGCCATCATGTTCATTGCAGGCCAGCCAGACACCACTGACATGAAACACCAGCCCTCCCAGGTGAGCAGCTAACTGCCTTTCTACTTTGCTGCTGTGCTGTTAACTCCCAAGCAGGGCTTTGTTCAGATAAGCGTTAAACTCTGCTCATCAGCCCAGCAAAACAAGAAGTCCCACCCTTTACACATGTTGAGCTGACCAGAACCACACTTGTCTCTCTCACAGTCCCAACATTTGTCCCCAAAGGCAACTATGCCACAGGCGTGAGGGAGGACAGAAGC